AAGTTGATTCTCATTCACAGGTTCATTTAGTCACTAAATAATGGTTGATGTTCAAATTTTATTTGCACATTTCGAATTTTTTACCACTTTTGGACTTTGTGAATTGTTTGGACAACTCCTATGATGGCCTTCTTGGACATTGCTTCTTCGTTGAACAATGGTTAATGATGGTGTGTGCTGCACAATTGAACAAGATCATAATTGCTAGGGTTAGGCAATCACCGGATGATCCAGTTAGAGTTTTTGAGTTTTTCAGAATTGAACAAATGATAAAGGAATGCAAACAGGGAGTTTATGGTTCACCAGCTCAGAAACTCGACTAATCCACTATTTAGCTAGTCTTTTACTCCTGAGGAAGATTTTATTGATAAAAGGGAAGATTACACAGAATATTTGTTTAAGCTAGTTGTTTGTTCTTCATTGTAAGGGATATGCCTCTTATTTATAACCTTCTAAGGTCCTGTCTAATTTCTCCGCGTGATCCTTGCCCCTTATCTATAACAGATGCGTTTGTTAAGCAGTCACCATGAGTGGTGGCTTGGCAGTTGCGGCTCTCACCTGAATGTAAGTCTGTTGCGACTTATGCGAAACGCTTTGGTGGGTACCAGTTGTTTTCCGTGTTGTCCCCTTGGCAGCAATGTTGCTGGGTAAACAAACTTGAGCACCTTTAGCAGCTCACTATGAGCTGCATGATTCAAACTCTGATAACCGAGCTGAATGACCAAGTTCAACCTTAGCTAGATTTTGAGTATCATCAGTTGTCCCTAGTCCTCGGCTAGGAAGATTTTGTCTTATATGGGCTGGGATTGATTAATGCTTTAGTGGGCGAGGTCAACTTGGTTTGGCAGTTGACCTACCTCGTGATCAGCTTGGTTTGTCCTCAGGATCTGCACGATGGAATATTTTTCAATTTTTACGGTGTTGCATGCGTGTGAGGAGTCAATTCTGCCTCGTTTCCCACACACGTTCATCATTTCTGGCTCCACGTGTCCATTCATACGCATGCCTTAAATTCATCCGTAGGCTAAACCGCTTTTTTCCATCATTTCGAATTCTTTTATCGTTTTTCCTCAAACACTTCTTCTTCTCTCTTTTTGTCTCTTCGTGATTTCATCTTCTCTTTTCTCTTGACTGTCTAAAGTTTTCTTGAAAAGTGTTCAGATTCGTTTGGAGGCCTTCTTGAAACCTGCTTTGCTTGCTCCTTCAATCTACCTCAGGTCATTGATGGTTGATCGTCCCTAATTAGGTACGTCCTTTGTCTTGATCTCTTTCCTCTCTCCTCTAGTGTTTCTGTCTACCCTGGATCCTACGAGTTCAAGGTGGTTGCTCCATTTCTGGACTTTTCGCTTTTGCTATTTTAGGAGTCAATGTTGTTCCCTATCCCTTCTGCCCCTTTTCTTAGATCCTTACTCTATAGTAAGAATCTTTCTCTTCGATCGTTAGAGCCTTGACCCTAGGGTTCTCGCAGACTATTTCTTGAACGTCCCATGCTCTACGCCTCCTTTAGGCTCCCTTTTTTCTATCCCATTATGTCTGCTTCTTCTGAAGCCACTGTTTCGTTTGTCTCTTTCGCCACGGGTGACAGATCTCCCAAATTCGAGGTCCAACCTCGTCATAGGGGCGCAAGTTGTGGATCCTAATGAGACAGATGACTTGGGAGATATAGGTGATGAGATAGACAACTTTCCTAGTGTCGAAACCCTTGATGCCCAAGTTGCCAAGGTGGAGGTTCCTCTTCCCCTATCAAGTCCAGTCCCGAGGTCTAAGAAATATCGAAAAAAGAGATCAAGGAAAGGCAGAGCTGAGACATCTAGTAGTGTTGGGGACGCTAAGGTTGAGCAGGTTGAGCCCCAAGCTTCAGATCTTATGGTTATACTAATAATGTTAATAATAGCCTCACTGACTATGTCATTCACAAGTTTGAATCAATAAGGAATGTTTCATTCAAATGAATACATCATAAACCAATGAAACAGAACATAAGTCCATTGCTTAACTTAATGCACAAAATAAAATTCAAATAAAGAATTTTTTTAGGTCAAAATATAAACAAATAAATAAATTAGATAATAGTAGTATCAATCCATTACTATGTCTAATTGTTTCTTTGTCTGTAAAACTTAATCCATAAATTGAAATAAAAATCATAAGAATTTTTTTTATTTAAAAATTTATCTAGCATATGGGCAAAAAGAATGTTAATTCTTAATTGGAGATCATAAACAATCATATTACTCTTTGAACAATTGATAATATAACCGGGAGTGATTCACATAAAGGGAGAAGCAATATTTATCAATTCTTTATGGTGTGTGTGATATGACCCCCATTCACTTAATGATACCATCTAAACTCTAATAATAAAATATTTCTTTGTAGCCTAAAACACATTCTTTGGTAAACCTCAACAATGTCACCAAAAAATTTGAACAAACATAAATGATGTACAATGTTACTAAGCTACAAATAATTGTATAAATATTTGAAACCCAAACGCATCACCTACTCCAATTAAAAAATCTATAGCGTAAGACAAGCATGACAAAAGTATCGATACTCTTAATTGGTCCTAAAACAGTTCTTTACTTTTGGCATTAGAAGACCCACTACAGTCGAAACAACTCGCATAAGTCTTTCATTACTGATAAATTGGTAAATCATGCTTGGTTTAATTTTTTAAACAAAATGACATTCATTGGATAAAACTAAAAACAGGTTTCTAATAGATCCCAAGTTGGAATGTGCTTCTGCTTTTAATAAGAAACATGCAATCAACAAACAAAATTAAACAATAAAAAAGATAGCAACTTAACATCAATCTTCATTTCACAAGTCCAAACACTTTTCTTAGAATTTTACTTAATTTGAGGGTATGTTGGTCAACATACTTGATTTTGTCCGCTATTACAATCCATCAATTATTTGGGCATGTTCTTCCCCATGCTACAAAATTTTCAATCACTTACACTCCATTTAATGAGTAAAACCAAATTACAAGAATTCAAAAAAATGATTTGAGATAAACCTGAGGAATGTAACCATAAGAACGTAGTATATAACCACCCTTTCAATTCTTGGACGACATGGAGCAACCTGCACATTCTTCAAATTGTTGCCCAACAGTGTCAAGTAAGTTGTCTTTGCATTGGTCCTTGATGGAATTATATTTATCCCCACCTGTCTTAACAAAGTTCTCTATATATTGTGTCTACCATTAACCAAGACAAACCAACTTTCAATAAGACCCACAAAGATTAGATCCAAAAATTAAGAAAATAGTGATTGAAGATCGAAAAGTGCTCAGAAAGAGAAATACAAAACCGATATGAAAAGGGGAAAGAGTAATAGAAAGGCAACATGAAAAGATTAGAGAGTGATGATTGAATTTAGGATGAGAATGTTANTCAATAAGACCCACAAAGATTAGATCCAAAAATCAAGAAAATAGTGATTGAAGATCGAAAAGTGCTCAGAAAGAGAAATACAAAACCGATATGAAAAGGGGGAAGAGTAATAGAAAGGCAACATGAAAAGATTAGAGAGTGATGATTGAATTTAGCATGAGAATGTAAAAAACCTTATACAACGACTACAGACAGGAAATCATTGACTTTCAGCCATCAAACACTCTACATCCTTAAAAGTCAAAATTGTATTATCTTCACCATTTTTTTCATTAGTATATAGTCGGACCAATTTCTTGTTTTTTCTATATATAGAGAAAGAGGGACAATCTTTTAGAAATTGTGACCCTCCACCTCTTTTGTTTCATAAACTATTAATTTAATGGAGAAACTAGAACATAAGTAGTATATCATAAATGATATTAGTGTAACAAATAAAAGGTGCATTGTATTGTCGTTATAATATATTTATTCATGATTGATTAGATAATTAAGAAATATTATAAGATAAAAGAGAAAAATAAAAAATTTTCAAATATACATACTTTTAAAAATAGTATATATATAGATTTATTTTAGTATTCTAAAGGCAAGTTGAAACAAACTTAATAGTAGAATTTGAATGAGGAAGCNGAAATATTATAAGATAAAAGAGAAAAATAAAAAATTTTCAAATATACATACTTTTAAAAATAGTATATATATAGATTTATTTTAGTATTCTAAAGGCAAGTTGAAACAAACTTAATAGTTGAATTTGAATAAGGAAGCATGCTCGATAACCAAACTCAACCATATCAAAGCGCCACAAGCTCGACTCATGTTAAAGTTACTTGGAACTCAAATATGCTGAATTTAGTTTCAGAAGAGCGAGGGAAAAATCAAATGCANGATAATTAAGAAATATTATAAGATAAAAGAGAAAAATAAAAAATTTTCAAATATACATACTTTAAAAAATAGTATATATATAGATTTATTTTAGTATTCTAAAGGCAAGTTGAAACAAACTTAATAGTTGAATTTGAATGAGGAAGCATGCTCGATAACCAAACTCAACCATATCAAAGCGCCACAAGCTCGACTCATGTTAAAGTTACTCGGAACTCAAATGTGCTGAATTTAGTTTCAGAAGAGCGAGGGGAAAATCAAATGGATTCCCCTCGGAAACGCCCTCGCCGGACCAGCCCCACCCCCAGAGTTGATAACCGTGTGTTATGCGAATGATTCAGCGTGTGTTAGTTCGTGTTCTTCGTTACCACAATGATTAAAGCGATAACTAACTTTAACCGTTTCTCAGTCCGAAGACTTGCAACAGAACCCAACAGCCTCACCCATATAGTCGACAATTTGAAGAAATGTTCAAGCTTGAGAGAACTGGAATCTGTATACGCTTCTATGACCAAGACCAATGCAAACCAAGATTGCTTTTTGATGAACCAATTTATCACGACCTGTTCGGCATTTGAACGAACAGATTACTCGATTCTGGCCTTTACCCAGATGAAAGATCCCAACGTATTCGTGTACAATGCAATGATCAGAGGCTTTGTCCATTGTTTTTACCCTCTCAAAGCTCTACGCTTTTACTTAGGCATGTTGAGGTCTCAAATTAGACCCACTAGTTATACATTTTCCTAGATGGTAAAGGCTTGTGCATTAGTATCTCCTGTAGGATTTGGAGAACCCGTTCATGGGCAGATATGGAAAATTGGGTTCCGATCGCACGTTTTTGTTGAGACAACATTGGTTGATTTTTACTCAACCATAGGTAGAATTGATGAATCGAAACAGGTGTTTGATGAAATGCCTGAAAGAGACGTTTTTGTATGGACGACGATGATTTCCGCACATGCCCGAGTGGGGGATATGGGTTGTGCATGGGGATTGTTTGACGAGATGCCTGAAAGGAATACTGCTACATGGAATACGATGATTGATGGCTATGCAAGATTAGGTAATGTAGAGGCTGCTGAGCATCTATTCAACGAGATGCCTATAACAGATTTAATTTCATGGACAACAATGATCACTTGCTACGTGCAAAACAAGCAGTATACCGAAGGATTGGCAGTCTTCAATGAAATGAAGGCTAACGGGGTTAAGCCTGATGAAGTGACTATGTCAACTGTTATTTCGGCATGTGCCCATATTGGGGTGCTTGACCTAGGAAAGGAAACACACCTTTATGTTATGCATAATGGGTTTGATCCTGACGTCTATATTGGGTCTGCTCTGATTGATATGTATGCAAAGTGTGGGAGCATGGATAGATCACTCGTGGTATTCCTCAAATTGAGGGACAAAAACCTTTTCTGTTGGAATTCTGTAATTGAAGGGTTTGCTGTTCATGGATATGCAGAAGAAGCATTGACAATGTTTAACAGAATGGAGAATGAGAAGATGAAACCAAATGGTGTTACTTTTGTAAGTGTTTTAAGTGCTTGCACTCATGCAGGACTAGTTGATGAAGGTCGTAGGAGGTTCGTTAACATGACTCTTGATTATTCCATAGCTCCTGAAATTGAACACTATGGGTGCATGGTTGATCTATTTTGCAAGGCTGGTTTGCTGGAAGATGCTTTAGAGTTAATCGGAAATATGAGAATGGAACCAAATTCTGTTATTTGGGGTGCTTTACTAGGCGGGTGTAAGCTTCACAAGAACTTGGAGATTGCTCAAGTTGCAGTGGATAAGTTGGTGGTTTTGGAGCCAAATAATAGTGGATATCACACCCTTTTAGTTAACATGTATGCTGAAGCAAATCGATGGAACGAGGTTGCTAAGCTCAGGGCAACCATGAAGGTACTCAGAGTAGAAAAGACTTCTCCTGGGTCCAGTTGGATTGAAATGGGAAGGAAGATTCATCAGTTTGCTGCTTCTGATGGATATCATCCTGCCTCTGTTGAAATTTACTCACTTATGAATGAGTTAGATGGGCAGATCAAACTAGCTGGCTGTGCTACTGAATTATTTCATTAAGATTTGTTCTTGAAGAATGGAGATGACATTCAGATTGAAGTAGATAAAGTTGTGCTATATAGATGGGTGATGTTTGACTGAAACGGTAGAAGGCCAGGAAAAGGTGGGGGAAAATCTCCAAATCAAGTGCTTCTATGGCACAGACGTATAGACAGCGGCAACGGTAATTCAAATTATTTAAAATCCAAACATTTCTTTGTTTCCCACTTAAGTATTCCTATATTGGTCCTTGTAGGTCTAACCCCTGCTTCTAATTCTTGACAATAGATCATATCATCGCCAGATCAAAACTTACATTTAGATTCTTGTTTCTGAGGGTTTGAGCATCCTTCTTTGTTACTAATAGTGATTAATGATAATTTCTGAGGTTAAATTTGTTTTTTTTATTTCCTCTCCTACAGGTGGTGGTGACCTTCTGTGAAAGGCATGTAGAAGGACTGCCATCTGGTTTACTTATTCTTCTCGTGAGATTGGAATTTGTTGTTGTGTTACATGCAGCATTGAGAAACATACTAAGGAGAAATTGTTGAGGCGCCTGAAGTGCTTTTGAGGTTTATAATGGATGGGAAGACAAAGTACTTTCCTGCACAGAATAAACACAGTTGTTTTGGCAATCAGTTGAGAGATCAAACGGACGC